ACAAAAATACCTCAACAGTGCCGTTGGGTAACTATACAGTCCAAAACGTTCTCGGGTGCAAATACGTACTACGCGGTAAAAACTGGTTAAACAAATACAAGTGCTAAGTACCTATCGGTCAATAGGAATATTCCCGACAAAAGGGACCAAACGCAAATACCGAGTGCAAAGTCAAATAAGGCAGTTAAACAAGCAAATAACACTACACCGGCTAGGGTCAAAGGTACACCATCCATAACGAGGGTAAAAATGTCAAACTAAGTGTCAATACAATCAAATCAGAGTGATCGGGAGGGATATTCAGATCAATTTTCCTTTACAGACTCTCTCAACTGTCAACTGGAGAGCCAACAATCTACTCCGATATTTTCACCCAAACAACGACCACGGGCGCACTGAGTCTTGGAGTGGCTATCATGGTGTTCTCAAGAGGATCGAAGGCTCTCTCTCATGCAGTGGGATCCGGTCTCCACCAGCATCAGGATCGTGACAGCAAGGTTCTACTTAAAAGGAAGGAAAGTTAACATCATACAATGCTACGCTACGCACCTACAAATAATGCAGACCAAGAGAAAAAGGAGGAATTCCACAGACAACTGCAATCAACACTGGACAAGACCTCAATTGCTGACGTCGAAATTCCAATGAATGACATGAATGCCAAACTGGGACAGACAATACAGGAAGAGAATTAATCATGTGTCGAGAAGCACTCGGTGAAATGAAGAATGAGAATAGAGAACTGTCTGCAGGTTTCTGCGATTTGGTGATTGGAGGTGAGGCAGTGTATACAAACACAAGGACATTCACAAAGCAGCATGGATTCCAGCAGGCACTAGGACACACTATTAATCAGATTGACTTCATCTCAGTGTGAAGAAAGTGGAGACGCAGTCTTCTAGACACAAGATAAGATCAAGAAGGGGAGCGGATGTAGATTCACACCCCTCACTATCTAGTGCAAGGAACTTACCTTCCAGATCAAGTTGGAAGCCTTCAAGGAAGCTGGTGATGGACCACAGTTCAAGTTCAACACACGGAACAGAAAATGAAGGACAAAACTACAAAGGAAACCTTTACGTCAGCCATCAAGACAAAATGGGGGATATCGAGGAACATCCATGAAGAAACCTGTACGGGTGAACACTGGAACTCTTTAAAAGAGATGTGGAAGGAAACCTGCATAACCGTGTTAGAAAGGAAGAAGAAAGAAGACAAGGAATGGATCTCAACTGACACGTGGAAGCTGATAGAGGAGGGAGAGGAAGACGGTGAAGCAGAAGATAAACCAGTGCAGGGATGAACAAAGAAAAGAGGAACTGAGCACAACGTATAAAACAATGGACAAAGAAGTGAAGAGTGCGCACAGAGACAAAAGACACCTTTACGACACATTGGCAGGTGAAGTAGAACAGGCTTCTGGTAGAAGAGATCTGACAACACTACATCAAATAGCCTACATACTATCTGAGAAGAGATCAACGCAGACGAAACCAATGAAGGATGGTAGAGAAAACCTGGTTACCACAGGGGAAAAACAAGGGAAGCAATGGGCTGACGTCTTCAGAAACCTCTTGATTCGACTACCACCTGCAACTGGCCCAGAAATACCACCAGCAGCCCAGCTAAAGGGTTACCAGTGAACACAGGCCTTCCGACAAAAACAGAAGTGAAGTCCTGAACACCATACAGTTGCCGAAATTAGGAAAAGCGGCAGTACAGATGGAATTCTGCCCAAAGCACTGAAAACAGACGTAGAGACAACAGCGGACACGCTCACACCACCACTCCGAAAGGTTTGTAAGGAAGGAAGGCAGGGTGCCTGCCGACTGGTTGGGAGGAGGGCTACCTGGTCAAACTTCCAGAGAAGGGAGACGTAGGTCTTTTGCAAGAAGCAGTGAGGAATCATGCTCCTGTCGACCCCTAGCAAGCAAAATATTTAGCCACATCACCCTGAAGAGACTGAAGGATAGGCTGGATTCAAAATTGCGACGGGAACAGGCCGGCTGGCTGGCTTCAGGAAAAACAAATCATGTGCGGATCAAGTTGCAACGCCACGCTGAGCATCATAGAACAGAGCGCACTATGGCAGTCAGATCTCTACCTCGACTGTGTTGATTTTGGAAAGGCTTTTGACAGCGTCGACTGAGAAGCAATCTGAAAACTGCTTCAACACTGCAGAGTACCACAAACCTTTATCAACCTCATTCAACAGCTACATGCTATATGGTGCTGCATGCCAAGTGATTCACGGTGGAAAGCGCAGCGATGCCTTTGAAGTGAGGACAAGAGTAAGACAAGACCGCCTACTACCACCGACCACCTTCCTCATTGTTGTGGACCGGATCATGCAGCAAACCGTCTAATGTCTTGTCGCACAAACTCGAAGATCTACAGGCAAAAACCAACAAGCCGACGGAAGAGGCAGCGAAGACAGGACTCCAAGTCAACGTAGAGGAGACGGAGGTGATGAAGATATTCAACCACCACCACCACCAACGACAACAAGCACCAATGACCATGAACAGGAGTTACCTAAAGAAGTAGTCTCTTTCACCTACCTATGCAGGGCAGCATCGTTTCAACTACAGATGGCACAGAAGAGGATGCCAAAGCCAGGATCGGAAAGGCAAGACGGGCGTTCATCAATCTAAAACAATCAGTGTGGAGATCTGCTGCACTCAACACAGCATAAAGAACAAGATCCGGATTTTCAACACTAAGTCGGTCAAATCAGTGCCTCTGCGTGATGGTTCAGAAATTTTGCGCGTTATGAAAAGCATTTCCAACAAACTACAGACATTCATCGACAGCCACCCACACTCGATACTGACGATCAGATGGCCGGAATAATAAGAATAAGCAACGAGTAACTAACTCTGGCAACGAACCAACCAAGAACCCATCACCCAACAAATATGCAGACGTAAGCGGAGATGGATTGGGCATACAGTGAGAGGACCGATTGGGAACATCACGCACCAGGCCCTTGGGTGGAACCTGGATGGGAAACGACGAGTCGGGCATCTGAGACGAGGGTGACGTGAAGGAGGTGGTGTGATGAAGAAATGAAGGCTTGTGTGCAGTCATGGAGCCGGGTCGAAAAGACTGCAGAGGAGAGAGTAAAATGGTGACGTGTTACTGAAGCCCTATGTCCCACTAGTGACCGAAGGTACAAATAATAATAACGCATCCACTTGTGTGGCTTGCATTTACTTTTTTTCTGCCTGATTTCATGAATTGATTCTCCCGAAAAACGCTTCTTTTAAATTCTTGTAACGCTGGACTTTCACTTGCCATAACCTCAAAAACTTATAATTTTAATCAAGTTTTGTCGTTTGGGCAATTACTATGCCTTAAATTTTGGCCTTTTTAGCACCGTATTTCTTTCTGACTTGCGCACTAAGGACGTATGAGTAGCTGTTGGAATTAACTGCAGTCTCACAATCAGTCACCTGAGTATAGGTTCGATGACTAGTTTTCCAGATGGTCCAGTCTGATTAGCGTTGCTAGTTCAGTCCCACCATGAGTCTCATGCTCTTTTGTGCATGGGGCATCAGTGCGTTGTTCCTGGTTGTCCCACTTTCGCAAATTCAGTGACCATCACCTGATCAGTCGTAGCCGTGGCTGTAGCCCATAGTCGTATTGAAGCTCAAAAATCTTTTGTTCATAATCTCAGCCAGGCCTATTAGAACCATTATAGTTGCCTAAAACACAACATAGTCGAGTCCCTAACTCCTACGGCACTCTGGAATTGTTTGTCCTTAGTCAGCGAATTGTGAGTGTTTCGGGTACATCCACTACAAACCTCAGTCCACCCGTAAAAACTGACCAAAAAACTACAAAAGCTGCTAGAAATCACTGTTAGCCATGACGAAGGCTGTCGCTTATGTTGTCTCATTGTAACCAAAGGAGGGCGGTCTTTGGGTGCACATTCTGAGGTTGGCAGGTATTTTGCCGATGCAAGGAGGATGTACTGTTTTGCATCATATGTTGTGCCTTTACGATGCATCACCCATTCATGTGGTTCTAGTGTCTGTTCAGAGAGTCGCAAGAGCAGAATCCAGCTACGAGCTACTTGTGGGGGACTCTGAAAGACTCTCCAACAGCCTGGAATCAAACGCAAATGTCTACTCTGACGGCTATCATGATGGTCTTACCACAAAGTTGGTGAGGTACTCTGTACAATCACAGCAATGAGCAGTTCGAGGACCGTCGAATGGCATCAACCTCCACCACCAGTCATGTTAACCCCAGGTTCCAAAGTCACTCTAGTGGCAAATGTTTTATGAAAACCAATAAAAATGAGCAAGAGTGTGGAAAAGGTGCCTTTTGCCCAAGAAAATTTGCCTATGGCACACAGTATTACGAGCGTTTGTTATTTATTGGGTTGTGCCAGCCCATTCTGCTTTACTCTGTCCAGTGACAGATACCTGAAGTAAACAGAAGTGTTGGACAAATAATAGGTACATGTGTGCTCCACACTAGGGTTTGGCGACCTGCAGGTGAATATACGCTGGCCACATAAAAGCGGTGGCTCATCTCCAAGGGAGCCCTTGCCGATCACTATGATTCTGGACCCAGCTAAGATAAGAATATTTCTCCTGTTCTCATACAGGCTAGGTGTGAGAGCTTGATCAGACCCGCAACTGAATAAAACATCCAGAGAGATGCCTTTTTGTAACGACCGGAATTAATGACTACAAACCCAAGGTAAATGCATTCATGATGGCCAGAAATAGCGGCGGTTGTTGGCGCAAATCATCCTGAAGGGAATAGCAGAAAAGTTTATCTTTAGACTACCACCTCCACTGCACCAGACAAATATGACTCGGCCCGATTGATGGCCATCAACTTCAGATGCTCTTCGACTCTGACCAGCATTCCGAAGACATTCTATGAAGCCATGCACATACAAGTGAAGTGCACTGATGATGAAATATCCTATGAAACGTCCCCGATGCCTTTTCTATCCCGCATTTAAGTTCAAGATCAATTACCTGCCATGGATTACCAATCTATTTCATATCCTCAGTTAGCAGCGCAGTAAGCATTCTGCTTATTGCTGGAGCTGGTATCCAAATGTTGCGAGGACTTCCAACATATGCATGAAAAATCAGACTGTTGCAAGCGCTCTTCCGGAAGTGTAAACCGGACTTCAACCTAGTGGAAGTTACTTGACCATTGCAAATCGCAATAATCCCTCCTGATTTTGAAAGCAAAGCCAGACAGGCAATGTTAAATTCATTGAAGTTCACTCAGAATTGATTATGAAAAGAACTTTATGGAAACAGTGTGAAAAAGTGAAGTTCAAGGCATGCATGCTACATTTTGACAAGAAATTTTTTAACAAATTACTTGTCTCAAGTAAGTCGGTAAATTTGTAGAAGGTGCAAAAATCAAATGAGAGGAGGATGCTACAGCCGCCATGGAAGTATTACTTCTCCCGGCATACTACTCGATCAGCTACCGGACAACCCACAGCAATCAGAAACTGAATCTTGATTTCGAAGCGGCAAGGGGAGTAATCAGAATTCCAATTGTCCGAAGTCACAACAATGTTCAACGATTCGTTTCAAGAAATCTATAAAAATTATCCAAGTGAACACTTAGTGATTCTTATTATGCTTCTTTCTTTTAAAAGTGAAAGGTATTATAGAGTGAAACAGTATCCCCCAGATACCTCAGAGAAGCCTAAAATTTCCTGAAAAACCCTCAAAACCAACTGCAGAAGGCTGAGCATTGGCTGTAAGCCATGTGCTCAACGTCTGTCTCTGACTGGTTAGAGTTCCGAACATTTCAGGAAGAACAAAGACACTTATAAACCGTTACTTTTTGGACATGTCCGACCGGACAACAAACATTTTATCGCTTTCCTGCTTCCCTTCTCTTTGCCAGGAACTGGGCCACGCTCAAGTTTATGGTCCTCGTGCACTCATATATATATATATATATACATATATATATATGGGCAACAAGGATATATCGAGGACTGATTCTCAAGATAGGTGATGGTAATCAACTTGCGTATTCGACTTAAAACTTTGCGGATGGGAAATTTCAGTCAGAAAACTAAATCGTTCTGCTATCGCTGGTGTGAATCATGATCTTTTACAATCAGTATATGCTTGACAAAGTGAACTGAGCCGTTTTTCTTTATTGTGACCATTTTTGAGAAGTTGAATCGTTGTGATCTTCAAGAAGTAAGGTAAGCCAATCAGTGTCTGCTGAAAAATAATGTCTTTTCAGTTAAAGTGGTCAAGTGACGGAATATTTCAGCGCGCTTATAACCATAGGAAAACATTTTCGAAACAATATCGGAAACATAGGACAAAGACAGCGGAGACTTTTGCCACTCCTTTCAGGATATATGCTTTCATAGTTGTGTTTCAGCTCGTGGAGTATTCGTTGATCCACATGTACCGTGCTTTTCTTCAAGGAACACAATTGTGAAATTTTATATTTTTTGCAACTGATGAAGAATTGATGTTATACATCAGGATTCGTTTGAGTGATCAGATGATTTCCTCCAGACATACTTTTACTTCTGCTCTCTCTTTCCTCGATATCTCATATACTTTGAAATCACATCTTGTTTTCCACTCCTTTCTGCATTGCGTAGTAAATTTTTTTGTAGGTCAATTCATTCCACAGCTGCTTTCGGTGGTGGCGATTTCCGCCTCAAGACCTTTCTTTAAGAACATATTTCCTCATTTTATCGGACGGCGTTGCAAGTTTGGATTTCAAATGCTGAAAGGGAACGATTGGTAGGTAAGTTGATGACTTGTCTAAGTGCTTTTGCCACAGTTAGTGTTCTTCCATTGATTAATAACATGCATTTTACTAATATCCGCTTGGTAATGAAGTTGTTGAGTGTGCAGTGTAACTGTAATGCAGAACCAGAAACAATGGCTATATGATTAGTGTACTTTTAGTAGTGTTATTTTCAAAAGTGTTTGCTTCGGGCAAGAAATGGAAATATCAGCGTTAATGTATTCCGATTCGAATTTCATATGAAGCAATACTTATGGAGTCCCTCAAGGTTGTGAACATTCAGCTTCGGATTCAACAGCATGCACTGTAACAGTCAAAACCCAATAATCTTGGCCTGAACGCGAGAACTAACTAGGCGGTGCCAACTAACGGGAATCTGACTAGTTCCTGTGTTCTACTGTATAGCTTCCTAACTTCCGCGAGTGACGCACAGTCAGAGGTTGGATCAAAATATCAAAACACGGTTTGTAGTAATTCAATAGTAGATTCGTAACAAAATCTGTGGTACTATCAAAGCAACAATTAGTTATGTCGAAATTACAAAAATACCTCAACAGTGCCGTTGGGTAACTTTAGAGTTCAAATCTTCTCAGCTGCGAATATGAACTGTTCGGCAAAACCTGGTTAAATAAATACAATTGTTAAGTACCTGACAGTCAATAAGAATATTCCTGACAGAAGGGGTCGGAACTCAGTCTACCAGAATCAAATCAACAGACAAACGTTCCCAGTAGACAGTCAAAAGACAAACAGTCAAGTGACAGTACAGCCGTAATTTGAACCAAAACAAAGTGTCAGGGGCAGTAAAACAACATCACGTTGCCAACAGTCCAGTGCCACATAATAGGAAAGTGCAATATTTATGATAAGTCCCAATCATACGGAGGCAAATACTGGTGCAAAGTCAAAGAAGTCAGTCAAACAACTAAATAACCCTACACCGGCTAGGGTCAACGGCACACCATCCATAACGAGAGTAAGACTACTCAAATAAATGTCAGTACTATCAAATAGAGTGATCCGGAGGGATTTTCAGACCATTTTTCTTTCACACACACTATTTGAAGAGGGTCACCACACCGCAGGCTGCTCGGGAAACCGGGAAGTTTTGAAATCATTAGCGGTCTGTTTGCATGGATAAGAGTTCCCTGCCAGTAGAAGACAAAGAGTTGGGATCAATTCTCAACTCTGCACTTGGAATTCGGTAGAGAGTGGAGTGCTGCAAAGCACAGTCCTGGGTTCCCCGCTGTTACTCTTATACGTAAATGAGCTATCAAATATCAGTAAATCTCCATGGTTCTCTGCACTTGTGATGTAAAAATCTGGCGGGAAAATAGGAACAGTGTGGACGTATGTGCGATTCAGGCAGACCTAAACAACTTCTCTAACCAGGTAGCTTAGAGAAGTGGCTGGTGCCTAGTAATGCAGGTAAGTGCGTGAGCATTACTTGGGGCACACACAGCAACACCTACGATGTTGGGGGGGACTCCACTAACGTCAGTACTGACCCACAATGACCTAGGAGTCACAGTGAGTTATGACTTGAAAACCACGGCTAGCTGTCGACTGGTAGCAGCTCGGAATTTCAGGACTCTCTGGACATCAATCACAACGTTTATGAAAATAAGTGGTGACATATTTGCCAGCTTATACACATCCCTAGTTGGGTTTAAATTTAAGAGCTGTACACAGGCGGCAAATCCTCGTCTGAATGGTGACGCAGACCTTCTAGAGGGCAGCCACTCATATGATCTCTGCAATGGCTGGCCTCGCCTATGAAAACCGACTCAAGGAGCTGAGCCTCTTCACTCTGTCCTTTCGCAGACAGACGGTAGGCCTAATCATTCTATTCGGGATTCTAAGAAATGACTTCGGACCTTATCCATTTACCATTTTCCTTCCCACTATGTCAGGACACCTCAGAGGACATGGTAGGAGACTACAAAAGAAAAGAACGAACATAGTCTCCGCAGAGTACTGATTCTCACGTCGAGTAAACAACGCCTGGAACTGACTCCCAGAAGAAGTGGTGTCCGCATCATCAATTGACTCGTCCGAAAGGGGATTGGACAAGCACAGAAATCTACTGGAGACGGATTAATATAGGCTCCCAGCCTCCTATCCTCGAACAGCAAATATGAAAGAAAGGAAATATGAATCTCAAGTGGACTCGGTAAAATATGTTATTGCTTCAGTTAACTCATAGGGTGAACTTCGTTTGCTTTACCATATAAATGGATTGGTCTTAAGAGGTAGTTCGGTGTCTTAGCTATCCGATGGTTAACAGATCAAAGGCACCATTCATCTTCGGGGTTTAGTGGTTTGTTGCCATTTGAACAGATGACAATTTATCGATAATTTGACCGAAAATAATGTGATTTATTTGTCGACTTTAAAGGCCACCTTAGCAACGAACAGAATGACTAATTGGGTTTCTGCATTTTGGGTGGGAAGTCAGGTTTTCACAAAATGGAGAAGTTTTATTGGTTAATTCTGCTGTTGCTAAAGTGGACTTTAAAGTCAGCCCCAGGAACAACTGAAACAGTTAATCGAGTTTTTATATTTAATTTAGAAACGTTGATTTTCATAAATCAAGAAGTATAATTGATTACTTCTAATTTGGTTAGATCATTGTTAAGAGTCATTCAAGCAATTCATAAAAGGGTTTATAAACTTCTCCATTTCTTGTTTGACTTTGTAATTTTCAATGCCCAAGATGAGCTGTCGCAGTACAATTAGTGTTGACAGAAGAAAGAAAAGGATTAATTATTTTTGCACTTAAATTGCTTAAATTACATAAATGTTGAAGAAATTACCGATTAAATAAAAATGTCTTTATCCAAATAACTAGTTCAAATACACTGAACAACAAGAACTTCAAGATACTTTGTTAGGTCACCTTTTTAAAAGTAGTTACTAAACAAATGTGTGGTTGCTAGACCGATCAGTGTCTTATCATGGATCATAAACTTTGAGTTATACTTCTTAACTTGAAATTCAAGTTGAGAATGTTTTTTAACATGGTTTTTGTCATAGGAAACAAGTTTCCCAAACTGACAAAAACGGGGATAAACCCCACTAGTGGGGAAAATGGGGATATTTTGCTGAATTACCCTATTCTTTCCCCATTTACTCACCATTAGTTTTCCCCAACTTTTCCCCATTTTCCCTCATTTTTTCCTCATTTTTGTCAGTTTAGGTTGATGAATATCATCAGTCTCTTTAATAGGATA